CCCCAAAACCCCAAAACCCCAAAACCCCAAAACCCCAAAACCCCTTTCACCGTCAGAACAATAGAAATGAAGTTTGAACAAAGGGGCATATTATACGGGCTGTAAAAGCTATATCCTCCCGATCAAGTTAGGTATATCTACTACCACTTTCAACCTTCCCATTTTGATATCAGAGAATCAATAGATAGAAGAACTGAGAGTTTTAGATATTGCCAGTCAATTCCTTCAAACCGACTTAATTTTGGTCGAAAATTTCTTTCCGACTGGTATTGACCAGAGCTCCTTGGCTGCTCAAGTCAAGAGATTTCAATGAAAGGCGCAAAGATAATTTTTTGAGTTAAGAATTTTCTATTGGGAAATCGGGTTCAAATTTAGGAATTTTCTGAAATTAATAAAAAATAAAATATAAGTTGATGAGAAAAATGGCGACAAAGATGGCCCCATTCCGTCCTTATTCTACATTTTCTTAGGTTTTGGAGAGCATTTTGGAAAGATTTATATGTAACCTTTGGTACTGAATAGTCCTAAGGAGGTTGAAAGAAAGCTACTTCAAAAATATCGGTGAGGATTCCATTTTAAGATGGAATTAAAACTTAATTTCTTAAGAGTTGATTTGCTTAATTTTTCTCAAAAAAGAGAATGAAGAGAGTAGAATTATTCAAAGAAACCTCCTCAATCGCCTGACACCCATCTATCATCATACTAACCAGAAGTATTGAGGGGATCAATCGCGGAAATTATAAATGCAATATGTTTCTGCCTTAAAAACTTGATATAAAAATGCCAGTCCATTAAACCTCCCTCTGTCAATAAATTACCATCAACTTAATCTTCCTATCCTACCAAACTACATTCAAACATCACCACAACTAAAATTCACCTAAAACTAATAATCTTCAGCATCACATCCAAAATCCAACCCACTACATTTCAGCTAAAATACTTACCCCAAACCAGTCTATAAATCCCCAACCCACGCTTAAACCTACCCTATCCAGCCTCCCCAACTGTAGTGGTCTATACCTCCCACAGAAGTTACCTCTAGCTTAGCCCAAGTGGGTTAGGGAAGTTGTAGAGAATTATTACAAGGTTTTGATGAGAACGTCAGAGTATTAAGTAAAGAAGACCAATGGGATTATATCTGTGATGATTCTTTGAGAATTTTAGTATCAAAAGGAGTGAGAGATAAGTAAATGGCTAGAAATTATTTTATAAATTATTAGCATTGGAGTTGGATGGCTATCCCCTCCTTTCGCCTAAGGACTTTTTGGATCTAGAGCTCGTCTCTTGGTCATCCAGGCTATACTCTTCACTTGAGAACGAAGTATGATACGCTTTGAAGTGAGGTATCTCAAAATTAGGTTTTGGTAGATCGGATCTACTCTCTATGGAAATTTCGTTAGTTTCAAAGAAATATTCAGCAAAATGTAGAAAAAATCAAAAGAAATCATCTGATTTATAGGTCGGATCCTCCTCTTTGCACTCTTTTAGCCTTTTTATGAAATAAGACATGAAAACAAAACTCTTAATACAAAATAATGCTATAAAATAACCGAAGAAAGGCTCTAGGAAGAGAGCAGTTATTAGGCTTAGATGTAGTTTTTGTATCAGGAAAGTTGAGCCTCAGCTAGGCTATATCCTGGCCAAAGGTCAGTTTTCCAAAATAACCAAAAATTTATTATTTTGTCTTTCTCGCAATCTTGGCTAACTTTTAGGCAAAATAAAGATGTAAGAAAACGAGTTTGACGAGAGATTTTTAGTTAAAAATTAATAAACAAATTCTTTCCCAGAAGGAAGGTCTTTTAGTGTAGTAGATCCCTTACCAAGATCGTCTGCTCAAATCTTCCAGGTCATGCTTGGAAAATTCAAACTCTTTGACCTTTTGTAATCTTTCTTTGTGTTGTGGTACAGTTTTAGATCTTCCATTTCTACTCAGAAGAAGGGAATATTATGGTCAGAGTCCCAGTTGTGCAAAAATTCTTGCAAATATCGAAGCTTTATTAAGAGGTCCTCATCAGGATTGATTTCATTATATTCTCATTTGAACCTCAAATCACCTATTTCATTGTGGATGACAAATTCTGGATTGTTTAAGTTAGAGGTGTAGCTAACTCCTGTTATATCTTCGTAATAGACCTTCCTCTTCTCAGAGCTTTTGCCTTTGATTACAACTAGGAAGTCTTGATCAAACCTGATCTTTCTATTCTCTCATTTCCCTAAATTTTTAAACTCATCGAAAACCTAAGAAGTCTCTTTAGAATATAAGTCCTGAGCAGATCCTGAGGACAAATCTCGCTTCAAAAATAAAAAATCTCAAATCTCTCCAATCATACCCAAACCACCCTCTACAAGACATTTCTCCAAATAACTCACCATGATCATTAACTTTAACCACCGGCGTTTCGCGGCAACGCAACATCTCTTCCATATCTCTTCACAATCCTTAATCCAAATTAATTATTTACAAAATCCCCTCCACAAGGGGTTTTGGGGTTTTGGGGTTTTGGGG